CAATGAGGGAAGGAGGCAGGGCATGTGGACACAGCTCCTAGGGCTCAAAAACTAATCTGAGCTGGCTGTGTGAAATACGAAAAGCAACAGCTACAACAAAATATGGAAAGAGGGAAATCTCAAAAGGATGATATCCTGAGATACTGCCATGAGATCTTCCAATGCCCAGAGCATGAACCCCCCAAATTTTATTAGAGGATCTAATCACTTCTCCTCTTATTTACTTAGTATTTGATTGATTCAGGCCTCCAAGGATGTCCCTTTTGAAACTGCCATTGGGGTCATGTGTCATGCAAACACTTGGTTTTTTTTAATTATTTCCTAGTCAATCTCTTGTCTGCTGCTGCATTGGTCTGCCCATGGGAGTAGGAGAGAGATTTTATATGATGGAAAAGAGAGGGGGGAGCATGTGGGAGCTTGGAATGTTCACCCATCCCTGCATCTTTTGGTCTCTTCCTCTTTAATTATACATTAATTAATTAAATTGCCTGCATAAAATCCAATGATTTGAGAACGGATAAAACGCAGATGCTGCGTTAGAAAAACTAATGTTAGTCCTCCATCATTGCAGCCCATCATGTTGGATCAGAGTGCCTGGAGACTGAGAGGTATGGAATCAAAATTTCCCTGTTTCCAATTACCCCAACCTAAATTTAACCCCTTGTAAGAAGTGGATAAAGATGGGTCTGTGTATAGGGAAGCATTCCCTGTGACCTTGTGTTCCTATTATTCTATGTTTCCAACTAAACAAATACTCTTGCTTCCATGTGTTTTAGGCTCGGGTTTCTTCCCAGTCCTCAATAAAATCTAGAGATGGGCAACGCTTGGCTGCTCCCCCTCTCTGTGTGTTCTTTGACCGTGATCTGTTTCATGTTTTGGGAGCTGCTGCTGCTTGCATGTGCACCCAACCGCAATCGCACGAGCACATGGATCACACGTGGTGCGGCACGCATGCACACAATCAGATGCGCACACGTGCACGTGCGCTGATGATACTTCCCAGGCTCCAAGACTTGGCAGACATACAAGGGAGATAATTGATTATCTCGTTTAAGACAGATTCAGAAACCAACCAACTGGAATTAAGTTAATAACATAGGGTGTTAAATGCCCTATAAGAGGCACCTTCTCCTGCAACAAACCTCTTTCTCCTCGTCGCGGTAATCCAAGTTACTCCAGGCAATTCATTGATTATCATTTTGTTTCTCACCGGCAGCAAACTGAGAGGTAATCATCCGAGTAATTTCCAAGCTGTGGATCGAAGTGGTAGATACTGAACAAGAGAGAGCATCCTTACTAATGATCAAACAGATGGGAGCATCAATGCACCCTTATGTACAATATTGATTCAGCATTTGATTCTACAGGTATGTGGGGACTCATTAGGAAGTGATCATATGATTTGCAAGTCAGAACAAAGACCGCTTTCTGCCTTGCTTTCCTAAAGTTGACTCAAGTCGACATCTTATGGCCCTACTACCAGTTGGACTCTCATTATGCATGTCAATGGGACTGCACTTCTAGCGGGGGGGAACAGTAAACAAATTAGCCCATGATCAGATATATGCATCAGGTTAAAATAAGGATCTACAGATCAGAAATGAAGTAGTCAAGAGTTGAACATCATAAAAATAATATGACCCCCAATTTCCAACATACTATTTACTGACATTCGCCTAGATAATTAATGGAGATCAGTAAAGCCAAGCATTCAGTTATTTGATATCAGCTTTGTAATGTATTGTTACTAAAAGGTGTTCCCCCTCTTATCTGACTCAGCCACGTTACTCTAGGTTCAAAATTTTACCATGCTCCTAGCTAGATCTTTCGTCCCAGCCAAACTCCAATCATGCTCACAGAATACACCCATCCAAAACTGATGTTGGAACCTAGATCTGATAAGTTGATGAGAACATTACACGTGAGAAATGAGAATGATTTCTGCTCCAAGCTGAACTCAGAAATATAAAAACCCTCCATTTTGAGTGGCCTCAAGCTCATCCCAGGCTACAACTCCACTAGAGTGGTCAATAGAACAAAAACCATCTACGTACCTATCGTCTCCATTGAAGTACGAAGTCGACTCTGCTCAAGGAAGTTTGGGATCTATTTAATTGGGAATACGAAGAAACTAAATTCTTTGTTCGCAGTCGGTCTTAATTTACAAGCTTAGACACTCTTTTGGTTTCAGCAACACTCAGTCTTCCTGAATAAATAGTTCATGTAAATTATAGTAAGCATCTGAACTAGCAAGAACTTCCAGTTTTCCATCAAAATTTTGAAGCTTCTTTTTGTCCACTAAGAGAATAAAGAACCACTGCCACGACCCCTAAGATATGAGGACAATTCACATAGGCCAAGGAGATGAAGAAAAGGCTATTTTTGAAATAACCTATGACTGTAAAAGAACACCTCAACGTAAATCTAGGAAAATCTTATCGAGCATGGTTATAAGGATGCACGCATGGTTTTCATGTGAAAAATCTCATTGAAAATGCCCAGAATGTAAGTGGAGATAATGATTCAGTTCCTGGGGCTTCATTTAAAAAAAAAAAAAAGAGGGGGAAAAGCCATTGTTGGCAGGAAGTTTAGCGACGGAAAAGTTCTTTGTAATTTGCTGCAGTCTAATACATTAACATATTGAGAGAGATCATGGTAGTGTATAGTAATTCAATAATTTAGGAAAGGCTTCCACGAAATCCTTACCCCTTTCACATAACCCTCACTGTTAATCCATTGTTTACAGTGATGAGAAAGTAATAATGCTGGACGGAGCAACTCCGGTGACCACACGTAACCCTTGTATGAGTATTGTAGGGAACTGATACCATAATCCAAATGCTATCCCATGAAACGATGCAAATTAGATGTATGAGGTATAATTCAAAAGAGGTTTTTTACTAAATTTTCTAAATTCAGTACAAATCACATTCTTAGAAATATGGAGACTAGAAACTATACGGTGTCAACATGACTATTTCCTATAAGAAAAAATTTCCGGGCTGGCCTTGACGAAGCAAAAACAAAAATATCAACTTTATCAGGGTCAAAAGCCGAAGTGATGGATGTTTTACCGAAAGAAATTTTTATTTTGATTATGATGTATTCAGTTTATTTATTGATAGCTAACACAACCCAAGTAACCAGATTCTTTCTTCAAATTTCCCTAGAATTTTCATCTTGAGTTTGAATTTTAACACATGCAGTCCAATTTCAATTATACCAACGGTGCATCATTTAGCTTACCAGTCACACAGGAGATTAAGATCATATGAGCTACTACAAAAAATTTTAAGAGTTAACTATCAAACGCTCTACCGTGTTTGAAAAGGACTTGAATTATGGAAAGGGTCCCGATTTCTCTTAACCGCCCAACTGTAGGAGGAGAAATATTAAGCTACATGTATTAGTTCACTCTAATATCAGTAACTTAAGCACTGAAACATCCCACTGAGTCCTGAGAATAAATATTTTTAGACAATAAAATGAGAAGGAAAAAAAAAAGATCCAAAAATAATCCAATCAACCTGCTGGAGGACGATAAAAGAGCATTGTTAAGAGTGATACACTCCTTTAATCTCAGCCACATCAACAATCTCGCAGTGTTACTTATCCTTATCAAGGTTCTGCAAAGTAACCAGAAAGAGAAAGAAAGTACCTACAGGGATTCCTTGAAGGGTATCCTCCCCTTTTACTCCCTTCAAAATCAGATAGATCTGCAAGGACAGTTTTTAAACTAGGTTCTATGAATCTGAAGATTCATGAACCATGCCTTCAAGGGAAATGTGTGGTGAAAACTTTATGAGAACAAGGACATACAGTCTGGCTAAACTACTGAGGCTGGAATATGGCATTATGCCAATATGGCAGGAGGTGCTATCTGTATGGGAAATGGAAAATCATACGTGAGTTCAGATTCTGGCTGTTTAAGTCTTTCTTAGCTGGCGGTCTGGCACTTAAATCACCATAGGCAATGGACCAGTGATATTAGATTCTTGTGAGACATAATACACATCTTATCCACAAGCTTCTTGCCTGTTTGAGATTGCAAAGGATGAGAACAACATGGCTGCTTCACAATAACAGAGGGACCCGTCGCCAACAATTGCCGATGAAGCTTCATTTGTATGTTAATGTAGCAGGAAACGGAACAATGAAAACATGGTGTAGTTCCTTCAGACCCTGAAATTGATAATGAAGTTCTGAACAATAGAAGGATTCTATCACCAAATTCTAACCAATATAGAAGGCTCATTTCCTAAATGGAGATAAAGCCTTTCTTGTGGTTAGCTAAGATAACAATACTCTAGCCAGATTAGCCACATATAGGGGAAATGGCAGGCTCAGAAGACTGCCTCGCGTCATACAGGAAAGGAGACAATCAATCATTTTCACATCACTGACCAAACCACAAGTATGTGCCAAAGGCCCTTGAAGGAAAACTAAACATCAAGGCTCACCCCGATTCATTTAGTTCCCTATTGTCTAACATGAGGGATAGGAGAGCTGGCCAGGGTCTAAGTGTCATAAGGGCAATTTACGCAGAAGTCTTATATTACGTTATTTGGGAAATGAATAATAAGAGGATGGCCAGTAACATTAACGAAGAAGTTAAACCATTGGTGAAGAATCTAACATAAGATTAGGAAGGGAGACCTCCAGGACTACATAGACAGACAAGAAGACTCTTCCATAACCAAAATCTTTTAGGACAAACCTGATGCATTGACTGCTGAACGGATGACAGATCCTACCACATCCTCAAATACAATGTGGTCATATCAATAATTTGATAGCTGCAATAAGAGAATGTAGCAAGGAAGCATACTAACTCAACCATAAGTTTCCAATCTGAAAGTAGAAAAATTATCAGTATTATCAAAGTGATAAGGAGCACCAATAAAGAAGCAGATGACTCTATGATGAGGATGTTGCCAGTAACTTAATTCGACCTATAACATTCACAAAACAAGAACTACCTACATCAGAAATATACAATCATCATGTTAGTGGAAGGGGGAAAAAGAAAAGAAAAGAGAATTGTGCTACTCACCTCTTCAGATCTCCAATATCATGATCGCAGGTTTCATCACCTTATTCTCTTTTCCTATGCACTTCATTATCGGCTCATCATTTCTGCTATTTCGTTGAATATTGCATTGATCATTTCACATCAGGATACAGCTGATATACCCTGTTCCGCCACCAATTCCATCTCTTTTCCTTGTAGGACAAGGGCCACAGATGTCAAATGGATTACAGAGTTCAGAGGAGGAACTCTTTTAACATAAAGCACCTCAGTAATCTTGGACACTCATAAACTCCATTAACATATCTGAAGGTGTACAGCTGAACAGATATATAGGCAAACTAGGAAAGCAGAATAGAGCAATACAGTTGAAGGGCTAAATCTTCATGATCCAATTGCCTGACCAGGAAGGCGATCTTACAGAAATGTGCCTAAGGACGGAGAAGCAATCGGTATTGAGCATGTGGACTTCATTAGTGAACATAACATTGTAAATGAGATCAGCCTTTCCTTCTCATAATCCAAATTTCCAACGTTGCATCGATCTCCTCTCTCACTTAAGTGCAGATCTTGCTGAAGACACCTTGAAAAGCGGCAGAATCCCCTGCTCTGGGAATCATAGACTACCTCAATCTGCTCTTAACAAGAGCGTCTGTGCGTAATAAATAGAAGACCATAAAATTTTATTTTGAGAATAGTGACTTAGTGTCAGTATATAGTTTTGGATCTTATAGTGAAAGATGTGAAACTACTAAATCTCAATGCTTGCCAAATAAAACACACAACAAAGAGGTAGTAAATCATGTTGTCACTGAACATAAATTTTAAAAAAAATCATATGGGCTATGTGGACATTAACTATAATCTGACATATTCATCTTCAAACCAAAACAAGATGGGAAGAAAAGAGAATGAAAAACATTGGCCTCTTGCAAAAACCTGATTCCTACTTATATCACATGTATATTCATGACTAATACAATGCTGAATCTTAAAATGAAGCAGAAGTATGTTTACTAGTCCCTTTTGAAAACAGTACTTCTCGCATATTTCGCATGGTCGCTCTATGAGTCTTAGTGTATATCAAACATAAATTCATAGTCATTGAATGGAAGAATAAAATCTCGTAAATCTCCTTAGCTATTTAACTTCAGGTTAACATATTCAACTGCAAAATAAAGTAAGTCTTTTCGCATATAACGCCCAAGTCTTTTGTAACTGCAAATTTACCTTGAAATCTTGATATTTACAAATTTACCCCTAATTCCTCAACATTGGATAAAAATGCCCCTGTTATATAACTGCATTACATGATTAACAATTGGTCTGTACAATCCCAAAAATACCACCATACTCAATAAATCCTCTCCATCTCCTTGTTGCCTCCTCTCAAATTTCTCAGATTGGACTCCATGGGCACTGCCTGCTCATCAAAGCTTTTTCACCACAGACACAAACTTGTTCTTATCCTCCACTAACAAACTCCTCGGATTGAGTCCAACTTCAGGTCCAGGTCAATTGAACTGAGATTAAAATTGGGTTTGGGTCGAGATTGATTTTAGGTTTGATGGTTGTTTTCAAAGGACAATCGAAACCCAGTGGACACTAAAGGAGGGCAGATGTGTTTTGTATAATTAACCAATTAATGTAATGATAATTAATCTTAGTTAATCAATACAAGCATATTTTAGTCATTATGTAACTACAGAAATTATAACAGCAAAGAGAGAATATAGTGGGAATATTCACTAACAGTGTTAAATGAGGAGCATTTTTATCCAATGTTAAGCAATTGCGGGGTAAATTTGCAAATGTCAGGTTTTGCAATTGCGGGGTAAATTTGCAAATGTCAGGTTTTGCAATTGCGGGGTAAATTTGCAAATGTCAGGTTTTGCAATTGCGGGGTAAATTTGCAAATGTCAGGTTTTGCAATTGCGGGGTAAATTTGCAAATGTCAGGTTTTGCAATTGCGGGGTAAATTTGCAAATGTCAGGTTTTGCAATTGCGGGGTAAATTTGCAAATGTCAGGTTTTGCAATTGCGGGGTAAATTTGCAAATGTCAGGTTTTGCAATTGCGGGGTAAATTTGCAAATGTCAGGTTTTGCAATTGCGGGGTAAATTTGCAAATGTCAGGTTTTGCAATTGCGGGGTAAATTTGCAAATGTCAGGTTTTGCATGCCAAAACAAAAAAAAGATAAAAAGCAACAGAAAGGAAACTTTATCCTCTCAGAAACCTGCATGGTAATTAAACTCCTGGTAATGTGTAACCAAAAATAATATAATGAGGTTTTCACACTAGTGACATCTAAATAAGTGAGCTGGAATATCTATTAAAAAGATGGAAGATAAATGTTGATGATCATTCATAATCAAGAAATTAGATGATTTCTTCATAACTACAAGTGTTACGTAGAGAATGAGAGAAGACAAAAAGATCATTATTCATCCAACCCAAACCTCCCTTAAATAGATATTGAGAAGATATTACAAAATAGGCATGAGATAAAATCATATCTAATCCCATCTCACAATATCTCACCAATATCTCATAATATCTACTAAATTTACTAATACAAAATTATCAATAATATCTAACACTCCCCCTCAAGCTGGAGCATATATACTATATATGCCTAGCTTGTTACAAATGGGGGAACAAATTAGCTAGTAGAAACACCCTATGCGGGTAAACCAGTAGAAACACTATAAGCGGGTAAGCCAGTAGAAACACCCTAAACGGGTTAGCCGGTAGAAACACCCTAGGTGGGTCAACCAATAAAAACACCCTATGCAAGTAAGCTAGGTGAAACTCTAAGCGGGTCAACAAATAGAAACCCTAGGTGGTCAGCCAGTAAAAACCCTTGATGGGCCAGCCATAAGAGAGAAACCCTAGGTAGGTTAGCCAATAACGAGAAACCCTAGGCGTGTCAGCTTGTATAGAGAAACCCTAAGCGTGTTAGCTAGTACATAGAAAACCTAAGCAGGTCAACCAATAGATAGAATTCCTAGGCGGCTTAGCCAGTATAAGCAACGTCAGAATCAACTACGTACTTTTGCATCCAACCATTGGAAGATGACAAAGAGCGATACTATATCATCATGAATAGTGTCGTTATTCCTTTTGAAGTTTTTTTCAAGGGTAGGACTTTTTTATTGAGATTCGAAAAAGATTTAGTAAACAAATGATGTAGAAAATCAAAGATGTTGAAGCCGCCAAAGATATTATCGTAGTCACCAAGGAGAGCATGAAGGACAAGCAAAACCCCTCGACGGCCTCGAGATCTAGAAAGATGGAAAAAAGTTGCTAAAATGGAGTAGGCGCTAATACCATGTAGAGAATGAGAGAAGGCAAAATTCATTATTCATCTAACCCTAACATTTCTTAAATAGAGATTAAGAGGATATTATAAAATAGGTATGAGATAAATCATATCTAAGCATATCTCACAATATCTTAACAAAATTTCATAATATCTACTAAATTTACTAATACCAAATTATGAATAATATCTAACATGTTAGTTACACAACAAGAATCATTTAGTAGGCACCTAGTCTTTTTTTTGTGTGCTTATTTTGCTATTGGAGAATACATTCTGTTTCACAGCTTCTTTTTAACCGGTATAAAATAACGTTACTAAGCATAATCATCGAGGGATAAATTTTATTGATAGAATTCATACTGTGAGATTTCAAAACAACAATAGAAAAATGTTGTATTCTTTTGGGCACCCAAATACTAACCTTTACGTCACATCCAATGTGAAACTGAAGTAAATTCCTCCTATTCATGTTTATCAGTTAATTGCCTCAGCTGCACAGTTCCCTCAAACTGAAGTAAATTCCTCCTATTAATGTTTATCAGTAAATTGCCTCAGCTGCACAGTTCCCTCCCAACTTGAACTTGTGACTAAAAAGGGCGCTGCAGAATTAATCTGTAATTTTGTACGACTAAATGCAGTGCTTAGGAAGAAATATTCGTGGAACTTATGTCTCGATTATCCACTGTTTTCATTATGTTGCTTTTCAGGTGAATTCTTGGATCATAAGTTATGCCAACCTATTCAAGTTCAGCACTGAATACTTGTTCACATCAGCATATTTAATTTGTGCAACAATTTCTAGTTATACACGGTATCCAAAAGTATTCAACAAGTCTTGTTTGTAGCTCTCCTTCAGTTTGGCATATCGAATCCACAATCATGTGAAGACCACCAAAAACAGAACTTCCCAAGGTTCAAATTCCATTAAATAAACAGTTACACAGACTCTCTTCTGCTGAAAGATTCTCGATTGAATTGTTACGCCACTGCAAGCTTCTCTTCTCTTTTCTGTAAATTTCTGCATCAGAAATTCTACCAGCCTCTTCCAGACCAGTGATCAGCACTGCATAAGTACCATGTGACATGGTGATGCCTTGGCTTCTCATTTTTGAATAGATCTCAAGACCTTTATCCACTTCACCAGCTTGAAAATAAGCACTCATCAAAGAAGTATAAGTAACAGTATTCTGGTCAGAGAGGGAAGAATGAAAAATCTTTGCAGCAATAGAAGAAAGGCCAGCACATCCAAGTTGGTGTATCAAAATAGAAACGAGATAAGATCCAAGGTCAATGCCGGCCTGAACTATTTCCTCTACAATCTCCATCACGTTCGACAACGAGTTTGCTCTGATGAGAAGACCAATAAGAGAGATGTAGGCGCACCTATCAAGTTTCTTATCTGTTCTCAAACAGTACTGAAATGCCAATAAAGCACCAGACAACCTAGAGTTTGCACAGTAAGCTTGGACAACAGAAGACATAAGTCCAGAATCTAATTGTATCTCATTATTTATCTTATCATTCAATATACGCTCAATGGCTATAAAATTCTTTTTTGCAAGAAGATTAATAACAAGTTCCCTATCAATAGTATAGAGAATGTTATCAGAATTCATTCTAGAGTCAATTTCTTCTTCAATGCCTTCAAAAGCAAGATGAGGGTTTACTTCTCGGAGGAGATGATTGATCTTGCCAGAATCTTTAAAAGCTTCAAGTGCTTCCAAAAATATAGGACGGCGAAGGACAATTGAACTATCCTTCATGTATTGGAGAACATGAGCAATTGCTGATGTATTTCTAGCTACAGAACACTTTTGAACTAGAATATTGCATGTAGCTTTGTCAGGTGGAATCCCTGCTTCTAGCATTTTGCTCATTATCTCAAACGCAGCATCAAACTTCCCTGAGATAGAGCAAAAAGTATTGATTCATTTATTGGGGGGAAGAACCTAGGGTTAGTAACAATTAATAAGTTAGACGAACTTCGTAAGTATGTCCTCAATATTGAAATCAAAGATTTTCAATTATTTCCAATTTAGACAAATTTTTACATGTCATGGTTAATAAATAAAGTACTGCCCAAAGACCCACTGAAAAGGGAGTATGTGTTATATTGTTATCGCAAGAATGGTCCAACGGAAGTGCTGAAAGAAAATAAGTCCAATAACAATAGATGAGCTGGTTTTAAATATATTAATGTCATGTCCATGAACAACCACAACAACACCAACAAAGCATTTTTATCCATTCAGCAAATGTCAACTCTAAATTATCAAATGAAGACATGAAAAGACAAATAAATAAACTCATGCAATATGCATCTGATGGATGGAGCAGTTGCCTCTAATCTATTATCACTATAAATGTGGTAGGAAACACGGATTAAGTTCTTAACCTATTTCCTAGATTGCATGGATACGGGTGTAGGTGCGGACACGGATAAATACACACGGTCATGGGACACGGAAAATCTGTAGTTAGTAGATGAGCGGGCGGGTAGGCATGCATACATACATGCATTCATGCATACATACATACATGAGAAATGAGGTTATACTTGCAACCAAGGACCAAATTTGTTCATTGGTAGTTATGTTGCCAATTCTTATCCACTCGTCCAAAGAGTGATTAATCAAGTGCAGATCATTTTCAAGTAGACAACTGGATGAGAAGTGGTCACTAGTCACCTCGCTACCAAGCACCAGCTTTTTGCTTGGTACCAAGGATACTCAATTTTCTCTATATGTATGTACGTATGTACGTATGTATGAATATATGTCTACATATATAAATATACATATACACGTACATATACATACAAACGCACACACACACATGCACGAGCACAACACGCACATTAGATCAAATATTGAATTAAAATACCTATAATATTGGCATGTTTCTTTTGCTACCTATAACAATTAAGAATCAAGTTAAATCAAACTAAGAATTAAGGTTTAACAACAAAAGTTTAGTTTTGATTGTATGGGTTACGATGGGTATGTTTCAAATCTTTAAGCAGTGGGTTCGGTTTTAAGTTAAAAAGACCTATTGGTTTTGAGGTCGACATATCAAAGAAACTAGTTCAGGATTATAAGTAATGGGGAAATGGAATTTTTTTAAACATGTATCAATGGCATGTCCGCAGCGAATCTGTGTTTGACACATGACCGACATAGATATAGCACCCAAAACCGAAGTGTCCGATAACCTAGCCTTATGTTTGGTTTTTATAATAATAAGACTTAACATGTGTCACTTTCATGTTTGAAGATTTCATGTCATGCAACTTCTCAAAGAGCTAAATCATGATAAGGATGATGAACATAGCATGTAAACAATAGACACAAAGTATGAAATTCATCTCAAGCACATGCAAAATCTAACCACAGTTGGCCTACTTCTATATGAGAAACTAAGCATTTTAACTAAGAGTTAGGTTGTTAAGATCCAATAGGGTAGATAACCACTTTTAGTTGGTTATACGGAAATAAACAACTAGTATTAAATCGTCAGTGTTCCTACACTACTATAAAAGGCCCTATTAGCAACAAGTGTTTGATTAAATTGTGGCTATTAGAGCTTATTGATACAGTCATGATAAATCTATCCTCCTTTCTCTATTTGAAATGGTTACCCTCCAAATCAATTAAATTAATAAAATGAGTTAGATATTTCCTTTAAAATAAAAGCAGTAAACAAAATTTTTAGGGGGAAAGAAAACACGTGAAAGAAATAGTGGAAAGAATTCATCCTCCTCAATTAATCAATCGTCTCCACCTCAAAACCTCCGCGCTCCAACCTCAAAAACCTCTGCTTGTTTCAAAATTCAGCACATGATATCTGATCATCAAAGCGAAAATCTTTCGGCATCTCTAGCCTTTCAGATCTTGTGCAATTGTGCTCACATCCCCTTTCCGATCACGTGCGAGGCATGCGCTGATCATCGTTTTCTCACCTCACAAAAGGTACATCGAGTATTATTCTTATAGTGATTAACTTGTTTATTTCGTATTAATTTGTAAAAAAAATCCAATTCCTGGTTGTAATTCTCTAGATCAAATTTTATCGATCAAAACACTCTATTTTCCCTTTTTTACACAAAAAATGAATTTTTCTTTAGTTCTTATTCTTACTAAAAAGTCACAATCATGATCTAAGGAGTACTTCTCATGCTCTCCTTCAATCAATTTGAAAAGTAGGATTATTATCCTCTGATTTTTTTCCTATTTTATGATATTCAATTATTTGATAAGTTATATGAATGTCCTGATTCCTTAGTTATTAGTGTACATCTAGATTATCCAGATACTTTATGTAGGCTTTCATATCTATGTCCCATACTTCCCATATCCGTGTCCGTGTCGGACACTCCTTGAACACTTCTTGTATGCATACATACATTTATTCAGATTTGTTCTCAATTATATAACACATGTATTTGTTTAAAAACTCGTGATACATTTCTTAAACGTGTACTTCACCTTAAATTTATGCACCTCGTTGGACTCGGGATAGGTTAGTTTTAGCATGTATCTAGTTCATAAAAGGATCGTTTGGTATCTAGCTAAAAAAGCAAGCGATTTTTTAATTTATAATCTACTCAATAAAGGATACATAAAAGTGTTTTAAGAATTTAAGTTCCCATAACATGTGAATGAAAAATACATATAGACCGTTAATTTTAATATGTATATAGTTGCGTCCTAATATCCTAAAATTTACAATTATCTTCTGTCCTGTATCCGCACACGTGTTCGTGTCCATACCTACACCCATATTTGTGCAACAAAGGTGCACATGCATTGTAATGTCATGTTTGTTTGAAATATGATGAATTTAGCTATTACAAAATACTACTTTTTATTCAAATAGCAAGGTAGACTCTTTTATGTGAATATTTAAAGAAGAAACAGAGAAAGATTGGCAGGGGAAACACTCAAAATTTAGATTAATGAAGAATAATACTCACAGTTACATTATTTGTTTTCTTATCCGTGTCCTAGACACTATTTTTGGGTTTAAAGCTCCTCGCTGGTGACCTCACATTGCATGGCTTTCTATTCTAAGAGCAAATACTTCTTAATTTTTGAATTGTACTTGACTTGTGCATTGTAGGTTCTTGTTTGTTTTCCTTGAGCATTGGAGGTTCTTGTAAGTCGGAGACCTCCACCTGCATTGGACTTTGCATCAAGTATGTCTTCTTTTATTCCTATCCATGAGAGAAAAGCATATGATTGACATATTTTTCATCATATACTGAAGTTGGAAGGCAGTGAAGCTATTGAGTTGAAAAACTTGTAGATAACACTTGCAGCGGCTCTGAACTTTAGATTTAAAGAGAGAAGAAAATATAAATTTTAAAGTCACAATGGGTTTGTGTGCTTTGTTTTTAGGATAACTCTTAATATTGATGGTTTATGCGCATCTTGAAAATATCCTTTCTTATATATGCAATAAATATTTATGATAATTATTGATGAAGCCGCTATAAAGGGAAGAAGAACATCCTGCGCCTTCACCTGCGAAGCGCTATGCTCCTGCTTACGAAAAAAGACTTTCCAAGCGAACTACTGAAGACAGACTAGAGCTTGTTTCATTAGGTACAAGATGCCACCTAAACTTGCTAACAAGAGAACAGTGATGATTGGGAAGAAGAGAAGACTATATGTTGAGCCCTCTACTAAGAAGTTTAAGGACACAATATAAATAACCTGCCCAATTGTTGTCAAAAACCAAGTACTACAGGTATTGTATTATTTTATTTAAAGAATATGCATTTTTTTTAGAGGTCATGTACAGTAAACCATGTTAGCAATACAACTTCAAATCTTTGGCAGGGAATTGTTATTTCTCTTCCTTTCAGACTGTCATCGAGTTATGGTTCTATCATGTGAATCCTTTAGAAGTTCATATATGTTTTTTTGTCAGTAAGTTTTCCATTGATCACCTAAATCTCTAATGTAAAAAATAGGATCCAGGCATAACTGAAAGATACATTTATAAAAGTCTAAACGCAAAGCATCAAAAACATAGAACAAGACCTCTGTTATAGCAATACATAACCCTTTGTTGGGATTACTTCATGTTTTTTTTTTTTGGTTTCTTTCATATATTTCTTTCATCATACACTACTATCCATTTTAGTTACAAATCATGTCATCGATCGTTCATTTTCTCATAGTTTCTCAAGTTAATCGACCACAACAGAGTCTACCCTCTGTATATCACCGTAATATTAGGCCTCAAGCTCTTGTGGTTCATGAACACACCCCAACCGTTGATGATGCAACTCCAATTGTTGATGGTTATGATGGTGATACTCGCTATGTTGATAACACAACCAATTTGGAGACTTCTACAGGTATTTCAATAATTTAATTTTTGTTATTTTCAGCTTGTTTGTATGGACTCACATATGTAACATTTGCATGCTTGTTTTAAAGTCACAATAATGACAAAAAAGGTAACATGGAACCTACTAAGCTGGGGACTTTTCGTCTTCCGTTAGGGCAGAACACTAGAAGCATATAGTTACATGGAGTAATGGACAACTTATTAGTCGCACTGCGTTCCAGCTTTCACAGGAGCTTGGTTATTATGCCCGGATAGATAGGTTACTCCCGTTAGGTAAGGAGTGGGATGATGGGTTTCAAGAAAAGACGGGTGATGTTATGGAATTTCTAAAGGTATATCTATTTCTTGGTTATGATTTAAAATCAATGTATTTATCTATAGTTATCGACCCTCGCATATTGCTCTTTGGTTAGGATAAATTTATTTGGCAGAGCGTGTACGAAGACCAAAAAGCCCCTGGCTTCAATCCGCTAGTGAATATGATCTTAGCTGTTCGTTGGTGCACTCTTATGATGCAGGCAACAATTAGAACATGGAAAGCAACAC